AGACAGATAAAAGTGTGCGGAAACGGAATCGTGGGGGGGAGTGCGATAACCGCTGCGCGGCCGCGTAGCTGCAAGGGAACATTCTTTTTCATGTTTTTCACTCAACCCCACTGGGACAATTCCAGGATATTACATCAAACTAAGCTACTACCAATTCCTTCCACGTCATTTCCAGTTCCTTGTTCACTAATGATCCTAACACTCGACATTAAATTGCCTGAGTTACTGATAATATCGCTAAATATGATACAACAGAGAAACAGAGCGGTGAACCATTTTCCCTCCGCGCAGGATTCAAACCAGATGTCCTTGAGGTGAGACCCCCCTCCCCATTTTTCATGCTTCCACCGGCATCTGCTTCAATTATGCCTGTCTCAATGATATTATTATTATTATATTACTGTGTGTACGCATACTTCGTTTCTTTTTTAATTGCTCGTTCTAACTTCATAATTGGTCTGATACAAACAACTCCGTGGCTTGTAGTCCGCAAGCGAACTATACCGACCGAGCGACCGCCGCTTGTCGGCGAAGTTAGTGCCAACTTTTGCGGTTAGAGGGTGTCACGTGGTCAGCGCAATAAATCCCCACGGCCGTTAATCTCGGTTTTCTAGACCGGAGCCGCTATTTTCTTGAAATAGCTCCTCAATTATCCCCACGAGGCTGAGTGGACCCCATTCCAGCCCCACTACTTCTCAGAAAATCTGACAGCGCCTGGAATCGAACCCGGACCTGTGACCACAAGACCACAGAGGCGGTCTGGAGTGTCTCCCTGGCAACCCCCCCCCCGCATGTGGCATTCTATAAACCACTCTTTCATAAACAGAGGTGCTGAAGTTTGTATATCCACTGAAAATCTCAAGATCATTCTTTTTTTCATGATCACAACCCTTTTCATATATATTAAATATACTTACTTACTCATGGAGCTTATCCTATGTGATTGTGAGGCCATAGCTTACTTAAGATTTCGTCACCTGGGTCAGTTCTTCATGGAATCAAGTGACTTTCATGATGCCCCCATAAATAAAGTGCTACATTTCATTCAAAGTGTAGGATTAATCCAAAGGGGAAGCACAATAGATCATTGAAGGTTGCAGTGTAAGGGCTGGATTTTATGGCTCACCCCTTACACACATACATGAGAAGCAACCAATTGTACAGCTACTCAAGAACTTCCTGGCATTTTATGGAACCCGATGGTGCATTACCGTGTTTACAAGAGCCCACCACTTGTCCCTATCCTGAGCCAGACCAATCCAATCTATACCATCCCATCCTATCTCTCAAAGATCCATTTTAATATTGTCCACCCACCTACGTCTTGGTCTTCCTAGTGGTCTCTTTCATTCTGGCTTTCCCACCAATATCCTATATGTATTCCTCTTCTCCCCATTTGTGCTACATTACCTACCAACCACAGTCTCCTTGACTTGATCATTCTAATCATACTTGAAGAAGAGTACAAATTATGAAGCTCATTATGCAGTCTTCTCCAACCTCCTGTTACTTTATCTCTCTTTGGTCCAAATATTCACCACAGCACCCCGAGTCTACGTTCTTCCCTTAATGTCAGAGACCAAGTTCCACAGCCATACAGAACCACTGGCAAAATTATAGTTTTCGTTTTTGAATAGCAGACGAGAATACAGCAGACAAGAAGACAAGAGGTTCTGGACTGAATGGAAGCAAGCATTACACGAGTTCAATCTCCTCTTAATTTCCTCCTGAATCAGGTTTTGATTTGTTATCGATATTATATATACTTACTTACTCACGGAGCTGAGCCCTTCTGGAAGAGCCGCCACTTCTGCAGCTACTGAAGAATTTCCCAGCATTTTATGGAACCAAGGTTCATTACATATATGAAAAATAAAATAAAAGCTTAATAAAGCATTCCATTACTAAATGCATGTAATCAAACAAGGCCTACCCAAGCAGTTTTGAAGATAGCATGTGACACTCAGGACTACTGGGTTTTTGGACTCGTTCACTTTCCAGTATTCTAAAGAACATAACATTTCAGAAACTGGGTCTGTTTTTTATCCTATGTTGAAGAGGTGGGAGATGCGTGCTCTGTTGGCTCCATTAGAAAGAGCTAACTTCAATCACTGGACAACTTATGTTGGTCGGGTAAATTGCTGCTGGTCCTCATCAGCATAATCATTCCTCATTCCAACTCCCATGGGACTCATGACCACATTTCACTGTCTCATGGCTCTGACCTACCATGTCAGTATAACTACAGCTATATTCTTGCCTATACCTAAGATTGGGGCACACAACAGCGTAGTTATTTGAGGCACTACACAACAAGTTAGAAGGTTGCAGGTTCCATTCCCGATGTCACTGGATTTTTCAATTGACCTAAGCCTTCTAGCCGCATTAAGGCCCTGGGGTCAACTCAGCCTCTAACAAAAATGAGTACCAGGTATCTTCCTGGGGTAAAGGGCAGCCTGCCATAAGGCTGGCCTCACCATCATCTGTGAGCCTATTGTCTAGAAAATGTGGGAACCTTGATGTCTCACAACTCTATGAACCTCCACAGCATGTTACAGGGATAGCTTTACCTTTATACTTGAGATCAGGATTTGTCTATGGGACATAACAGGAAAGTGTATAATAAAACTTGTCATAATGCATATACAGACCTGAAACTGATATAGAAAAGGGCAACAAAACAAACCAAATCCATAAACACCAATGCATAGGAACAATTTGAAGATTTTCATATTTTAAAATATATATCTAGCACCAGTACTACCTGTGGAACAAAAATTGAACTCCAGAATGAAAATCATTTACACTCATGAAGAATATGTCAGATAATACTGACCTTCCCTGTAAGTTTACATCCTCACTACTGACAAGGGGAATCAATATGGGAGAAATATCCAAACTGGGTTTGTTAATCAGATTGGTTAAACATGCCATATGGGCTGATTCTTTGTATTTCCTGTCCCTTCTGTTACTTTCAATTTTCAAACTCCTAGCTTCATCCCAGCCTACCCTAGAACCTTCTTTATGGGCACATTGGGCTAATTTTTATTTTTCTATGAGTCCAAGTTCAAAGCTTGGTGAAACACTCCAACTCTTAAGGAAATATGGATGTTGTCAGATTAGAAAATTATCTGAAGGAAACATGAATGCAGAAACCTGACCATGAGGGTGTCACTTGTTTTTCACCCACAGGAAAGTTTTAGTGACCTATTAATTAAAATATAAAGATGACAAAAATCTGGCAAGCTGAAAACCTTGAAGGGTTCTTTCTTGTGTCTCTTGAATAAACTCAGGAGTTAATAAATTCCACATTTGACAAGGAACCCTCCCAAGATTTCTAGTCCAGTGTTATGCCCAAATTCCTAGATGCGACAAAGCCCTACTTTCATTTTGAATGTTTAACACATAGTTTGGTGCTTAAGGATTCTGGAGAATGCAGTTTAAACTTTGTATACCCTTGAATGTTGATTTGTTCTCCAATGAATATGCATGAATGCTTTGTGGGGACATCCCACATAGCACACTGTTTCCACCTCATGACTCAAGGTACGCGGGTTCAAACCCGGCAGAGGTCGTGCAATTTTTAAGGGCGGAAAAATTCATGGAACAAGTCCTCCGGGAGGGACTTTAAGCCGTGGGTCCCGTGTCGTAGATTTACGGCACGTAAAAGAACCTCATGTCTCTAGGAGACCTCTGAGCAAAATTTGGCCAAAAGTTTCCCACCCACAAGAGTTTCCAATGCCTCCAGTAGATGGGGGAAGTGTTAGGTACCACTGCCAGAGGAGGCGGGACCTCTCTGACAGAAAGAGACTAACTATTAGATACCACTGCCAGTAGAAGGTTGGAACCTCACTGGCAGAAAGGGGCTGATAGTAAGCACCAGTACCGGTAGGGTATGGAGACGGTAGAAATTAAAAGGGGGACGCACAATAGATCAATACTGGTTGCAGTGCATGGGGAAACCCACCCCCTCAATACTGAACTGAACCTTTAATTACCAACACTATGTCAAAACCCCCATGGAGATTTAAGGCAGAAGGTGGGCCATACCAAAATCAAAAAGTGATGCAAGTCCAAGAAAACAGGTACCTGAAAGAATGTAGCACTTTTGGTGAAATGTCTCCTGGGTTAATAACTGTGGGTCAAAATTTCCAAGTGAAATACGTTTAGGTGAAAAGTTTCATGCGCTAAAAGCTGTGAGTGAAATGTCCTGATAACATCCAGTGCTTCTGGGGGTATGAGATCAAACGATATAAAATGTAAGTTTCAGTTTCTTCTACAACTTCTGTTTGAAATACTGTTGGTCTGGCAAATATTTAAATTCATGCTCAAGATGTGTGCAGAACTGTCCAATCTCAACCAAAATAAGAATGGTTTAACAAATTTTAGTGAAATTCTCCAGTATCTAATTTCATGAAAACCTGTCCAGCAGTTTTTGAGTTGTTACAAATGAACAGTAAAGTTAACAGGCATATTTTTGCAACTCTTTCATTGCGAGTGCATCAGAAATACGTTGTATGAGAATCTGTACATCCACCACACTATATCAGACTTTCACCCATCAGTTACAGTTGTTCATCACTGCCAAAACAAAAGAGTTACAGATTTTGTGCAGCTCAACACAGATATGACCTTAATGTGAATTGCATGTTATTTCTAAAATATATTACTATATCATATGTCCTGGCTCTACACTGAAGGGGCTAATTTTGCTCACACTTCATATATTCACATAGTCAACATATTGGTAATACTGATGGTTGGGAATTACATGTATGAAGTTGAAGATGGCATCCAATGTCATAACAGTCATACCAGCTTTAATGAAAACTGATAACTGCTTCAAAGGTTACTGGAAGGAACAGAAAGACAGTGCACAATGCAAACACACTCACAGACATACTCGTAACATTAACACTTTAAACAAGTTTAAACACACTAAGTACATATCAAAAATCTTTAAGCAAAGTGTAGTTTGGGTTTTAATAAAAGGCATCATGCTGTCATTATTTTTTAATTTATCAATATTAAAATATTTTAAAATTATCCTAAATAATTTACAGCTTACACAGAGAGCAAACTTACACTTTCTCAATTTAATGTTTTATGGTCAACACTTCCCAAAAACATATTCACAAAATGTATTCCTCTAATATTAAGAATGCCACAATGTAATAAATACATAATAATGTTCATCACCACAATGCTAATTTTAAATTTATGTCATGCTGATGTAAATTTTATATTGCTTGAATTCCTTTAAACATAATGATACTGAAATTGCACTTGCCGAAGGAAATACAGTCTAAATCAAGAGTGTAAATAATTTGTGTGCTCGTGTCACTTCATTTTATGGTACTTAATTTAAATCAATCTTCTACACTGAAATTTCTAAACAATTTCCATTATCAAGTGGGTTGTATTACAGAATTTTGGCGTTTTTAAGGTGAGTCAGGGAATAATAATATTTAAATATTGTAACATGAAAAGATAAATACATAATTCATAAATATTTCAAAGAAATGACATTTTGAAAAGCAGAACTTCCCAAGCTGTGCTGTGCACCAGTATGAGTATTAAAGTATTAAGTATCTCAGTGGTAACCACAACAGCAATCCTACTATACAGTACCAAGTCTTTTCATATATGATCAATTTAAGAATGCATTAATCATCTTTATCCTCTCTGGGGTAAAAAACATGACAACTTCCAAACAACTAACTCAAGAAATGCTCTCAACTTTACAAACACCAAATCTAGAATGTATATGCCATCACACCAATGTATGGGCATTTTATACTTGATGAACAAAACTTACCACTTCACAAACAGCATTATGAAATAAGAATGACCCACTGTACCAATCTGTAACACTTATGTACCGTAACATTAAAATACAGAACTATTTCAGACACTCCCATACAGATAGGTTTTGAATTGCTTAAACATCCAGATTTCTTATTTATCTTCCTTTGATAAGTTTAATTTCAAGTTATTCAGTAAGTGAATATCAACAAAGAAAATGTGTTGTCTATTAATTTGTGTACCAAAGTTTGCAATACAGAAACCAATTCACAACTGCAAATATATTTTGTCCAGAGACCCATAACAACTTATTCTATTAAGGTACTGACAAAGTATACTGTATTTAAATCCTTACGGTGTCAAATTTTCCCTTCATTGAAAAATTACAGGGGTCAAAATCCAACGTTTAACTCTTGGATGCCAGATGTGGGCCACTCTATTCATCCAGCAACATACATGCTGATATTGCAGCATCATCAAGTCCTCTCTTTGGCCACAATAAACCTGCACTCTATGAAGAATCCTGCAAATATAAGATAATATTTACTTTCTGATAAAGTGTGTCATACTTAAAATCACATGGGCAGACAAATTTCAAAGTTAAACTTTAACGTATGGAATTTATACAACAATGAATGTTAATGTAAATGCATACACTGCTTCAAAGATATTTAAAAGAACTGTCTGGTTCTTATATTGCATGGTGAATTTCCTTGCTACCAAAAGTATAAAGCCATTTATAGTCTTCACTTTCTGGTATATCATTATATTCCATGCCCTTTAATGTATTTCTTATCAACAACCACACAGCTTGACTTTACTGCAAAATTATTGTACAATGCTACACCTACACCATGCAATTAAAAAAATACATATAACATATGTAAACTGCATATAATGGTAACTCTAATATGACCTTATTTTATAATTTTTAGTATCTACCAATAAATACAAATAAATTAAAGACTGAACAGAGAATATAATTGCATTACTATTTATTGTCACTTGTATTTCTTGGAGCAGTTAAATTATGACAACAGAATAGACCTGAAATATAACTACAACCCATCTGTCTATACAAATAACTGTTACCTATATTAGTTTCTAACAAATAGTCTGGTACATGTGGTTAAGCAGTTCTATGAATCAGAAAACTTCTTTATCCTACAACTTTCTCTATTAACACATCTGCAACATAAGATTTATGAGTATAAAAGCCATTTCAATAAAGATGTAAAACAATGTTGGGAAGTACAGTCTTCTGAACCATCCGCCATGGAGTCATAGATGCTATGATTCCAGAAGTTTTAATCCCATTATTATCACAAAAAATGATAATGCAATTGATTTGTTCATCCTGGTCCATCACATTAGCAATATTATAAAAGGTTATCAACTCTGTCCAGTGTGACTGATAACATTTTATAATGTCTAATGCATATTTTAAAAAATGTTGCCACTTTATATTCAATCAGTTATAAAATTCATATACCTTCATGCAAATAGGGGTTTGGTCAGATATGACTCGAAATAGCTAGAAAAAACGGTTGGTGTACTGTACTTTAAACACTGGTTCTGAATTTACTAGTCTTGCTGCTACATTACTATTGTGACTAGTGTGCTTAATGTGGTAAATAGAATACTTAGATGCTGTGCATATACAGTATGCGTCAAAAGTTCCAGTACTGAAATGATACCACTGTCTAGTCATGTTAAGGCCCCTTGCATGACAAACCTTCTCAAATGATCTGATCACCATGTCCCTGTAGCATTCTTGGGTGATGGTAAGAGCATTGCCTTCCTCATCCTCAATGAAGTAGGGGCCTAATATACCATATGCTGAGATGGCACACCATATAGTCACACATGTACTATGTAGCGGTTTCTGGATGATAACATCTGGCGGCTCAAAATCAAGGAAGCGAGTTGTATGGCGACCACTTCCATATGAGCAGAAATAATACTCAACTATGAATACTTTTTCCTCCGTTGAGAGACCCATTTCCAACAACTGCACAACACAACTTCCTTTTCACTACTGGGAACACATGCGGCTGGAGCTATGCCCCGTCGACAAATGCACATGCGCGTTCGAGATGCGCAAGTTTCAGTACTGAATATTTTGACGCATCCTGTAGTTAAGACTGTGGATGTACAACTGACATATAACAACAGTTGGAACTGTGATATTATATACACTAAAACCATTTCAGATATGGAATGCATTCTAGAAGTGAGTGATCCCAGGATCACAACAGGCACACCAACAAATTACTTCACACAATTACAGACACTGGGGAACTACACCGAATTGTATTCCTTGAACACTTTAAAAAGTCTTTATAAGAAAATTCTTCAGACCGGAGTTTTTTAGCAATGAGAGGACATGCTGCCATAATATGAAGACACAATCTACAGAAATTCAATATATATGCTAATTCACATTTCAGAGGCTACAGTACCACTCTACACTTGGAGAGATATATATAATTTGTGAAGTGGTAAGAAATGAGAAGGAAGTAGTTGTCATGTGGCAACAGATATCTGACTACAAATATCTTACTCTTTCTGTAATACTGTAACAACTGATTTAAAAATAATTCTGTGTATTCCTACAGTAATGAGCCTTCTAAACGAAGCTCAATAAAATTTCACTGCATCTAACACCTATAACAGTGGCCCAACCTCAGAAATGCGTTTTATATCTCTGCATAGGTAAGCAGAAGACAGAGAGGTCAAACAGATCATAACAAGATACAGTGTGTTCCGTTCAAACCTCCCACATTTTAATTAATCACTGCAAACAAATTGGGATAAATTATGGATTATAATTAACACTAGATGAAAGAAAAACTCAAAAAACTTTATTGCCGTTTTTCTTCGGTGAAGCTACAGTATCTGGCCGCGTGTACCTTGACATGTTAGAACAGTTCCTGTATCCCCAGGTAGCCGATCTGCAGCCTAACATAATCTTCCAACAAGATGGAGGCCCCCCACATTGGGGTCTGGATGTTCAGAGGTCCCTCAATGCCACCTTCCAAGATTGCTGGATTGGACGCGGCAGACCAATTCGGTGGCCACCATGTTCACCGGACCTCACTCCGCTCGATTTCTTCCTCTGGGGTTATGTGAAGGACCCCGTGTTCGTGCCTCCAGTGAATGACCTCCCAGATTTACGAGGCTGCATCCGTGAAACGATTGCTACTGTACCAATGGACATGTTGGAAAGAATGTGACAAGAAACTGAATACAGATTGGATATTGTTTGTGCTACCAATGGTGCAAATGTAGAGGTTTATTTAGTGTGTCAAATAAAATTTTTTGAGTTCTTGTATTTCCTGTAGTTTCATTTTCCTACCATTCATACTTTCTGTTCCAAGATCTGATAAAATGTGGGAGGTTTGAATGGAACATCCTATACTATAAACCAGCCAACCAACATTCTACTTTCTTCCTGCAGGAGGGTATAGGAAGTGTGATGAAACGCTAAAAACTGATAAATTTACAGGTCCTGGGCAGAATTTACATTGGCAACTGAAGACTGATGCCAGAATTAGCAAGTAAAATAATTTCCAACTAAAACAAATGGAACATTAATAACCCATTTGCATCTTCCCACATCTTTAGGGGAACAAAAGCTTCTGCAAAAATTTATGAAAAGGATTTGAACTGAGCACTAAAAGAGTTATTAAACAACCCACTACCACAACAACTGAATGGGCAATGGGTAAGAGACAATTTTACATCAAGAATTAATATCACTGTATTAAAACTGACAGATCGTCACTGCAATATTGCATTACATAAGATCCTGTACAGAGCATAAATTTAAAAACAGTAATAATATAGCCAGATGCATCTATATATGCTAAAAATTGTAGTAAATTAAGGCAAATCCAATACATATATTCACTATTCTGTATAATGAAGGGAATTCCATTTAGATGGTAATATTGCATACAGACACCTCTAAATAAAATGCTGCCTTGCATATTTAAATTTGCCTCACAGCTTAAAATTAAACTACTTTCATAGAAGGATTCTGGAGCACAAAAACTGAGAATTGCTGTTCTAACAACAAATGTAATATACGGGATTCTTAATTACATTTTAGAATAACCACATGGCATGACAAGGGGGCTATTTGGGAAAAATGCATGCTGACAAAAAATAGACACTTTTCGATGGGAAATGGGATCCTAAAAATGTACTTGGAAAGTGGCAAGAATTTTGATATATTATTTAATACTTCAATTTGAATAGTTATCTTGAAAATAATTAAACTACAGATACAGACTAGAAAGTGATGTGACTGGAGGCACACTCTACGAAAGGATATATTTTATACTTTCAAACCCCAATAAAAACAAGAAATGCTATTAGAACCACTGCTTTTTAACATAATCATAAACAATACAGTTCATAATATCTTCAGGGAATGCATCCGGTTTTGTTTATCAATATATTTTTATATATCTGTCAACACAGCATTCAAACAAATAACTCACTTCCACATTTGCTTCAACTGAGTTAAATAAGTTAAAAAAACTTATGGTACAGCTATGCAACATGTTTTGACTTTCAAGGAGCCATCATCAGGCAGTACAATATATATAGTCATGAAATACTGAATGGTAACTATTATGGATTCATATTACAAATGTCATGTATTCATATATTAATTTATAGAATAATTTGTACCATTTTATGCACAGAATAATTCTGCTCCTATATAAAGAGTTGTTAAAATAACTTATAGGAGTTTTCCTATGTTAGATTAAGTTTTTCGTGCACTTTTCAACAATCTAAAACGATATTTACACTACATCAAAAACTTAATCCAACATAATTGTATATACCAACTGTAGAAAGACACCTATAAGTTATTTTAACATGATCAAACACTTCATGTAGGAGGAGAATCAGTCTGTGCATAAAATGGTACAAATTATTCTATAAATTACTTTATAAATACATGACATTCGTAATATGAATCCATAATAGTTACCATTCAATATTTTATGACTTTATATATTGTACTGCCTGATGATGGGGGGTATGTAGTAGTGTAGTTGGTTGAGGCACTAGGCTACAAGCTGGAAGGTCGCGGGTTCAAGTCCCAATGAGGTCATTGGATTTTTTCAATTGACCTAATCCTTCCAGCTGCACTATGGCCCTGGGGTCGATTCAGCCTCTAAAGAAATGAGTACCAGGAATATTCTTGGAATATTCTTGGGGGTAAAGGTTGGCCGGTGTGTAGGGCTGACAACCTTGCTGCCATCTATGAGCTGATGGTCTAGAAAATGTGGGAACCTCAACATCTCTCAACACTATGGGCCTCCACAGCCTGTTACAGGGATACCTTTACTTTACTTTATTTTACTTTACTTTACTTTACTTTACTTACTGCCTAATAATGGCTCTGTGAGAGTTGAAACATATTGCACAGATGTACCATAAGTTAGATAAACTCAGTTAACACAAATGTGGAAGTGAGTTGTTAATCTGATTGCTGTGTTGACA